TTTCTTATCATCCATATCGAATTTTGTGAGACACCATATGTCGAATCGCTCCAACTAATCCTCCACGTCACGCGCAGTTGAACTGACATCTAATGGTTCCATTTCGGCAGGCATGATGAATCGTTCCAATCGCGACGCCAAAATGTGAGAATTCAGTTCCATACGTATATCGGTATAACCAGACGAACCAGAAATCCAGAATTCAGCGCAGCGTAACAAGCAGCACGTATGTATTCGAATTGGCGAATAGGTACAGCATATGGAATATTAAAACAAGAGAATAATGAATGGAGGATTGAATAGAGTATCAGTCATGTTCATCACAGATACTCACGGTTAAATAATGGTTAACTGTTCAAACTGCCATTCGGGTGACCTCTGAATTTCGTGAGATTTCCATTGCTGATGATTCCAAATGCATGGATTACCTGCAACGTGATTCTCGTCTTTCAGCCTCACAACCTCTTCAGGTGTTACCGATTTTTTGTCTGCATATCAAACGAGTATGTTTCACAACAATGTCAAGAAAGATAGATGTGCGTGTTGCCCAATTGTTATCCTAAAATGTGACTCACAACACGGATAGTAAGGGCAGTAACGAATCTCATCAAATTTCTGTAATCGTTGCCCTTGAGAGCCCCAAAAGTTGCAAAAATATAAGATAGAACGGCGACTCCCGGACTATGAAGAACCGAGGTAAGTTTGAAGGGTACCATCTCAGAGCACTGTTGAAAAGACGTAACATGTTATTCCCAAGGTTCCTGAAAGCCCTCCAACAACCCACGAACGGTTTTTCTCTTCTTGGGACTCATCAGGTAGGCGCAGACAACAACATGTTGCGATACCTCGAACATCGTACCAACTGTAACATGAGTCTACAGATTGCATCACACTCAGTCGAAGTGGATCGTCATAAACTAGAGATTCGGTTGGATTCATTTGAATCTCCAGTCAAAACTGAATTCGTGTGCAATCGAGAGTATCTGTCAACATCTGCCCAATATGGGTTTAAGTAGAACTCAGCAACTTCACTTACCTGGTAAGCGCCAAAAAGGTTGTGGGTTGCAAAAATGCTTTCAACACCCTTGTGAGTAGTGTGTTGCGTCTAGACGACAACTTATTGGGATTAGCAGAGTTTTTGATGAAAACATTAAACAGATTTTTAACAATGCACATCACCGACTAATTATTAACAGCAGAACTAAGTCAGGCAGTAGACCAGCTGAGGAAAGCCTGTTGTGACGGCCATTTTTGGAGACAAAGGAGGATTATTACGACTGAATTTATGAGGTAATCACAGAATGTTCCACAACGTCGTGCTAGAATCTCCATGTGGGGACAAGATGCGTCGGGCTAGACACTCGATCCTGATTGGCCGGCTATCTGACCAATCAGGGCATGCCTTCGTTTGGTCCGTGTGCTGCGTATCACATCCGTCCAATTAACGTGCGTTCGGTCATTACGGGCAGCTGGTCTCTGGACAAAACCCATGCATAACTGTTGGAGTCTGCAAAAGCCTCCAGGCGCAAACTTCGCGAAGAATGTTCTTCCAGTCAAAAGCAGTCGTGTGGCTAATAGATAATTCCTCTGAGCAGAATTTGATTTTTGCCAAATCTTTGAGCCAGCAATAAATGAATAGAATTACTGTCCTAAACTCCATCCTAGGCCGCTCCAGCCAAGTTCTCTTTCGAAGACCGATTTCTTGCCAACACTGTCGGCCATTACACCTCCACCTGTCAGAAACGGTTTCAAGTGTCATTTGGTGGCCATTGTTGCATAAACGTTGCTGATGGATCACTGCGTGGCTTTGCAAAAAACGCTTTTGTCGTCTCCTTGTCATGAACGATAGTTGCAAGCATCAGAAAGTTCATTTAAGGTTTTACGTCCGAACGGAGAAAATGTTTGCACAAACTGAGCCTAGACACGGATGAGGAATTGTTTTCATCAAAAGTAGGTCAAGGTTGTGTGCGTACATTAAATTGGAGCTGACAAAAAGTGTCGGGGATCCCCTTTTCCCACATGCACTTTTTGCATTAGTGGCAGGGCTTGTGTGGAAAAGATCCGTCCATATTATTCTTCTTGTCAGTTTCCCCTCGGAATTTCCGACTGAGTACCGAAAATTGCAGACAAATCTGGTTACCTGGAGCAGACTAGAATTAGGTCCATTCTCCATAGATTTTTATTCAAATTTCAAAGTGGAGCCTCCACATTCATCATGGCTGTAAGACATGGAAGAATGATCTGGTGCTGTCAGCGATGATGTTAACGAGGACGTCTTCGGTTCGGTTGACGATGATCCAGACTGTTAGATCACTGGTTGCATGTACCCGCTCGAATAGTCGAGTTCCACTTCTTCAATATGTTGGTGTGGCGTGACTCATTTTTCGCCTTGAGAGCAATCAGGTTTGTGCGGATCAATCACGCCAGTCTCGAACTGAGATAGACCCAGAACAATGTAATGAATCCGTGCCATCAATAGAACGATAATAAGTAGGATGTAGAAATAAGTAAGTAGTGTTAGTGTGGCGTGACTCATTTTTCGCCTTGGGAGCAATCAGTTTTGTGCGGATCAGTCGCGCCAGTCTCGAACTGAGATAGACTCAGAACAATATAATGAATCCGTGCCATCAATAGAACGATAATAAGTAGGAAGTAGAAATAAGTAGTAAGTGTGACTGTCTGAAAATTCAGATGCTAACGCACCCCCAACTGTGCAAACTCAGGTTCCGCCCAAATCTGGAACGAATCTACTACTACTCCTAGACGTCGAAATTAGTGAAACTATTTATCAGAATTCGATATACTACTGATTCAATATCGTGATGAACAGTTAGTGACCGACAGCTTAGGTATAGCAACCTAGCGTCCACATACAATGTCTACTGGGAAATTTGTTTGCCTGTTCAAATTCAATCGAATGTAGAGTAGGGTCGTGGCCTGATTGCCTCAGATAAAAAGACACTCAATCCCGAGGGCATGGCTGATGATGAGCGACAGGGCGAAGAATGCTCGAACTGGGTGTTCCTTTCTATCTATGGTGAGCCAACTCGATCAATCACACTGGAATTGTGAACAGACTCGAGTGCATCCATCATTTGGATATCGATTTAGTTTTAGAGGGAAATTAGTTTGAATTCCCGCTGAATTCCTTGTTTAAAGCATTCTTCTACAAGTGAACATGCTGTACAAAGACCGCCTCATATTTTGGTCAGGTATGACCTTCGAGATACGTCAGTTTATTTTGTCAGGGACGGCGGCGATCTGATTAGCCTCAAGAAGGGTGGAACTGCTCGTGTACTATCGAAGAGATTTAAGTAACTACGTGGGTAGTTTTCTCGTGGAACGTATATTGCGGTATCCAAGACAACCTTTGTTTAGCCCATTCAGTTGAGGAATAGCATCAAAGAGCGATTCAGCCGAGTTTTCCGCGAACACCAGATTGGTGAGTGTATTTGTTAAAAATCTGTCCAATTTTTGTTCAAGTCAAACATGAGTTTGACAGGAATTCGGGGGACTACGACAACCTGATGAGCCTCAAGAAGGGAGAAGCCGGTTGTGAGCTGTCGAATTGTTTGTGAGTAGCTTGTGAGTAGTATTGTTCTTGCACGAAGACTGTTTAAACGAGGCTGGTTTTGTGTACCTTGAACGGATACCGCTGTGATTAAGCTGTTGCTATTAACGATCTGTTGAGGTAGCGAAATCACACCACAGTCGATGAATAATCTCATATCATCTTGGCCACTGAACTGCATCGCACTGGATCAACAAACAAAACCAAGTTCGGGTCGGACGATTGGCACACATGGTCTGACGTAGACCGGATGTATCCATGCGGAGGTCCACTTTACTTTAAGTGACTCACGTGCTCTTCTCTCATCAACAATCGATAGAGCAGTTCGGACTGTGCATTTTCATTTGTTTTTGGCGCGGTTAATTGAAAGTTGAATAACTTGTTCGCTGCCAATGTTCTAAAGTAGTCACATGCGCACACTGTCCGACAAATGTGCGGACGCATTGTCGCTTCAAGTTTTACTCCGGTCTAATTGAAGTGCGTTGTGTGCATATATGTTCTTGATATATACATAACGCGAAGCGGGTCGTCATAAACGAGAGATTCAGCTGAATTCAACTGAGTCTGCTCAAATTGGAATTCGTATGCGGATGATTGTATTTGTCCGAGCAGTTCAATCTGGGTTCAAGTCGGGCACAAGATTGATGGAAACCGAAGGGACTTTGCCTAACTAATGGGCCTGAGACTGGCAAAACCGCCTGTGGAATGTCGAAAATATTCCAACAACCTCATGAGTAGTATGTAGTGTCGAATTAACAACGTCGGTTTGGATGATGGGGGCCACAAGATAATTTACAAATCCCAGTGAGTGGCGCGTTTATAAACATAAACTTACCTATTCGTAATGCACTATTATAAGGTTGCTGAAAATTCTTCGATAGCCCACGACCGGTTTCGTCCTTCTTGTGGCTCATCAGGTAGGCGCAGCCTCCGAGGTTCCGTCGACCTTATGTTCTACTTGAACTGGAATTGCGCGAAATTAGCGACTTGCACTCATTTGCAAACAAATTTGGTTTCGTGAGAGACTCTTCTGGAAAGTGACTGAATCTCTCTCGGTAGCCCCGACCAGAACTCAAGGTTCACAGACATCTGTTGTATCTCGTACTGCGTTTATGAGAAAGGAATACACCATTGCGAGGTGACGATACTAACAGTCAACTTGATGACGCTGTAAGCATATTTGAAACATTGCCACTGAGATTTTACCCTGTCAGTCAAACCAGTCAATGCCGATAAGCCAAGAAGCTGTTTGATCCCTTTTTGGAACTATCAGCCCTGTGTATCTCAAGAGATGAGTGGAAATCCCGTCTGAGAATTTGCCTTTAGAGAAACCAGTCAATACTTGACCACGTGACGTGGTTTATGCGACTGAAACATGGGTGATGTTTGAATCGGTCACAACGCTGATTGGCTGTTTGTAGCCGAGCGGTTAACTGTCCACCTGAGATTTGCTCAACTCTGATGCCTTCTAGTGAGGATGAAACAGGCGTTCAGTACTTCTAGGCTTTTAAGCAATATTGGTTCCACTTACAAGACGAAATGGAGGTTAACTCGGCGTCTTGAGTAACTATCAGTTGACCAGAAAAGGGGC